CCCCAAAACCCCAAAACCCCAAAACCCCAAAACCCCAAACTTAATCCTAAATATTGATAGGAAACTTAAATATGGATTATAGTGTCTGAAAGAGGCCTAAGTACAAATCTCCAGAGGAGAAGGTACCTCTCTTCATAAAAAAAACTCATTAAATTTCTTTTTTAAGTAACCCTGAAGTAATTCTTGCAACATTTCAAACATTTTCCAAAATTGATTTATTCTGGAATTTAGGAGATGCTAAAGCTGTTTAGTAAAAACCAGAAGAAGAGGGATTATGATAAAGTTAAGGAGGTTTGCAGATATCTTCGTAAGATCAAATTTTTCTCCCAAAGGATCATCCCTGCTGAAGGATATACCTTGTTAGGTAAGTACCCTGACTCATACTTAGTTGAATGAATGGAGCATGTGTACTGACCCAGAGGAAAGCTAGTTTATAAAGAAGAAGAGTCAGTAGAGAATCTCTATATCTTACTTATCGGAAAGGCATCTGTCTGAATCAGGTACGTCATCTACCATTAATTTAATGGGGAAAGTGATTTATTTCTTCTTATAGCAAAGAATTCGATTCAAACCTTGATGTTAGAAGTCTGAAGAGAGTCAATGATAAGAGCCATAGATGAAGAAAATAAAGGTAGGCCTGGTTCTAGACCTTACCTTGCGTACTGCTATAATTTGGTTTATTCATATTAAACTATAGAAGACCAAGAGTTCTTAAATAAGCGATATCAGTTCCTTCATTTGAAGAAAGGAGATTCCTTTGGAGATCATGCACTGATTCATAATACTTCTGCAAATGATACTATCTTTTGTCATACAAATTGCCACTTTGCCTGCCTAAGTCGATCTAAGTTTGAGGAGGTTTTCAGGCAACTTGAAGTTCTAAGGAATCACGAATGGAAGAATTTTTTTTAAATCAACAGCTATTTTTGAGCATCTTACATTGAAACCGATCGAAAAATTGTTTTATTTCTGTGAACTCAGGACATATAAACGGAATCAGACTATCTTTTCAGAGGGAGATCAATGCAAAGGATTCTTTATAATATATCAAGGAATCGCTCAAAGTAAGATTTTTTGGATTAGAAACATTAGCTAAGAGATTCAGAGAGGCCGGAAAAATTATTAAAGAAAATTATAGTAATTTAGATTTGGAAACTTTAGTTTGGTAATTAGTGTTTGAGCAATACATTTCATACATATTTGAGCTACTTAGTGAATATTTTTAATTGAATATTTATGATAGCAGGCCGAATTTTATTGTTCTGAAAATTTAGTCGATTTCTTAATTTTGAGATGAAAAAAGACTTCTAGACTTGACACAACTCTCTCCCAAAATATTTTGATAACGTATTAATTTGAAAAATCTTCTGAACACCATGCTTAAACTCAATTTATAGTTACAAAAAGTTTCATCTACAAAAGAGGAGGAGCAGATAAGAATTCCTCCCAGACTAGGCAAGATAGATTCTTTGGTAGCTCTAAATTAGGCAGGTAAGATTAAACTCAGGAATCATTCATTTCAATCCATTTAAAGGATGCTTTTGCTTATATTTTTATTTTACTACAATTATTCTCTAGCAAGAGGTTGATTAAGCTTAAGTCAATCAGTGAAGGTCAGTTCATGGGCATCGAAGATACCTTTGGTCATAACTTTATTGACTCGAAGGAGATCCATTCCTATAATGCAGTTTGCCATTCAGCAGAAATTCAATGATTTTATTTTACGAAAGAGAAAGCTTATGATAAGTTAGCAAGCTTGGGATGTCTGACCCACCTTTGAAGTAAAGCGAAGATTAGTTTCCTAAGGATGAAAGAGCTGTTTTATAACTTAATCCGAATAAACAGAAGGATTGACTTTACTCAGAAAGAAAGGCCTGAATTCCATCAAGATGTACTAAATTTACCTTCCCAAAACGAGCCAGTTAAGGTAATCGACACCAAAAGAAAAGAAACAGCTGTGAAGAAGCAGAAGTCTGAGGTTAAGAAGGAGCAGTTTAGGATACTTTATAATGCTCTTACTGATTTGATAAACAAGTCTGAGACCAAGAGGGTAAGATTTAATCATCTTATTGTTCTAGGTCACAAATCATCGACCATCAACAAATAATACTACCAAGGTTAATAGCTTCGTGATTAACAAAACGTACTTTCGGTTTAATAATGTGTAGAAATATATCTGAGTTAGCTGACAATGAGACAACTGCTACATCGATGAACTGAAAAACAAGGAGAAACAGCAACTTCTTTGAGAGTTATGAAACCAATAAACATTTGCTTTCTAAAAGAAAAGATAGGAGTCACACCCAGGAGAATGATAAAAGTAAAAGTGTGATTGCCGATAAGTTTGCTTCTATTCTAATACATAGCTTGAAAATAAAGGAGCCTTCAAACAGAAGAAATCTCACTCTTTGAGCTTCATTTTATCCTGCTGTCCAGAATAAAATGTAAAATTTTTGATTCATGAATTAGGTATAAAACTACTCAAAAAACAATGAAAATAACAGAGAAAGATGGCTTAAAATCTCCCTTAATTTTTCAGAAAGATAAAGTATCCACTGCAAGGGAAATGCTTACTAGGGTAATTTTTAGAATGAATATTTTAGAGACTAAAGTTTAGCAAGATGTCAGTAGACACTCAAAATTTTAGAGACACAAAGCTGAATAAATTAGTTCCAAACAGCTTCAAATTAAAATCACCAATACTTGTCGAAGGGATGAAGGACTGAAACCGGAACATAATTCCCAATCCTAACTTAAGGTTTAACCTTAAGAGGCATTTTATGCCTGTAGCTTGTTCGATCCCTTCAAATATTACGACTCGAGATTCGAGAAGGTTATCTATTGGGTCTCTTGTATCAAGCAAGAGATGGTAATATTAAACCATTAATGGATAAGTCCTGTTTCAATATCTATTAACGTAAAAGGGGTTTTGGGGTTTTGGGGTTTTGGGG